GTAGTTGACTGTGTTTAAATAAATATCAAATAAGTTAAATAATAATCATGTAAATCTCTAAAATAGTGACTGTTATTAGTGTAAAATACACTTATACATGTTTTTCAAGAAATTATGTACATAATTTAATGTTATCTACTTCATAACTTGTAGGGAGTTAGTTAAATTTTCATAATTGTTTTATGGTAAGTATTAAATTGAATTTAATAATAGTGCATAATACACACTTCTGTTAGTTTCTTAAAGTGAAATTACAAGCATGAAGTCTGTTGTATGGATAATTGCTTTATTCTATTCATTTTTTTGTTTGCTGATAGGTCCTTAATTTTTTCTTTGATGGTCCTTAAAAGTCCTTAATTTTCACGTAAGGAAATGTGTACGAACCCTGTTTATTATTGTTATCATCATTATTCACTTTGTCCATCAGACTGATTTTAAATTTGATGGGTAATGTGAGTTTCCCATGTGTATTATATACTAAGTTAGTATTTATCATTTCTTTGCACAAAATTTCCTGTATGAATAATAAGCAACATAATATTTTAATTTTTTTAAATAAAAATTTTATACGTATACTATGTGTAGGATCCAGCCGGGGCCAGTGTTGGAGTCTTGCCAGTAATTAATTAACTCAGATTGATCTTTTTATTTATTTACAACACACACTATGATTATATACACTTTGTACAAATAGAAATACATCAGTTGATAGAATTGTTTAAATTTCTAAAATTACTACACTGAGCATTGGCCTCTCCCACCGAAAGTCAGTCTCCAACTTACTTCTTTTCCACCTAGATGGCGCTACCTATTTTCGGGGGTTACAGTTTTGGAGGACCAGGCACTACACCTTCCTCCTAAGATTGTGGTTGGGCAGAATGTCCAAATACATTCTGATAACAAAGCTTGGTACTCACAGTTCAACATTATATCTACTAATCAAATAATGTTTAACTCTAACAAAATAATTAACTCTTACATGTAAAAATTTTTTTTAAAAAAACTGCAAAATGGTAAAGGATGTTACACTTAAATTATCTAATTGCTATAAATAATTTAGTAGCTTTACAAATATTAGTTAGTAAAGAAATATCTTACAATGAACTTTAAAGAAAGAAAAAAATTAACAATCAGTCTAAACACCAAAATTAAAGTCTTTATGAATTGTCCATATCGTTAAGTATCTAAAAGTTTTTCACTTCATTAAAAAATTTTTAAAAAAATTTTCATTCACCATTCAGTCTGGATAAAGCATCTGCATTGCCCGTTTTGACTCCTGGTAAATGTTTCATCTCGATATTGTATTTTTGTAAGGCAAAAGCCTGATGCTGTAATCTAGATGATTTCAGTGCAGTTGGCTGGTATTCTTTTAAGATTTTAATTACTTCATAATTGTTTACATCATCTTCACTAATATAAATCTAAGTGATGCTATAAGTGTTTGCTGCATTTTCTCCTAAATGATTTATAAAAATTTCAGCTTTGTGTTCTTCTGGCACATGTTTAATCGTAAATGCTCTTTCTAGCGAAGAGAAATAGATTCCGGATGAGTCAGAATGGATATCGTTAAAGTTTTTATGCTTTTAATTAAATTTTCTAACATTGTGTTATCTGAAAGATTAAAAGTACATGAAGATCTAACTTTTGCAATTTCTAGTTCATGTTCTTTCTCTAATTTAAATTTTTGTAGCTTCAACTTTTAAGCTTCCAGTTCTTCATTGGATTTCCTGTCATCAATTATGGATATAAACATCGATTTAATGAATTCAGGATCAATTTTGTAATCATTACTGTTAATAATTTTATCTTTCAGTTCCATGATTGTAATACTTTCATCAGCATTCTGACCTAGTTCTTTTGTCAATAGAAATAAATCTTGTTTTTTGAGACCTTAAACTCAGAACATTTTGCGGCTTTGTTATAATTTTGTAATATAGCGCTAATCAGTTCAAACTATTGTAGTAACTCGTAATTTACCTCATTGTACAATTTATGTAACTATAATAGTCATTTAAAAATAATAGGTAAGCATAAATCACTTATCTTTTCTCTGTTGAGGTGTTTCATTTAGATTCTAATCCTGTTTCACTGCAACAATTTAGGATCCAGTCTTGTCCGGTGTTGGAGTCTTGCATGCAAATAATTAACTCAGATTAATCTTATTTATTTACAACATAGGTTATGATCATATACACTTTGTACAAATAAAAATACATCAGTTGATAGAACTGTTTAAATTTATAAAATTATCACACTAAGCATACTGAGCATTCAGCCTCTACCACCAAAATTCAGTCTCCAACTTAGCACTTTTTCACCTACAGGGTGCAGCGTATTTTCAGGATTACAGTTTTGGAGGACTAGGCACTACACTATGTATATATATAGAGAGAGAAATTCAGTAATAATTACAATATAGTAAAATATGATATAAATAAGTATTACAAGAGTAGCAGTAATATATTAATATCAATTTAATATCAGTATTGGGAATCTCTACATTCAGCAATTTGTAGGCAATATCAGTGTTTTGCTACAAAGTTGCATAGTGTGTATAATTTCATACTAATATGTATGATGCTGAGAATATCATTTGTGTGGAGTAATGCAAAAAGTGATGCTGTTCTGAATGTGGTATGGTAAGGTATTGGATAAATTATGTTTATTGTAAAATTATTGCCATTACTGCTGCATCCTTTTAAAATGTTACACCACCTGCTACCCCCAGATACCTGATACATCTTCTACAGAACTGAAATCACATTGCCCATTAGTATTTTTAATTTGTCATTTAATCAAAAATTGTATAAAATATTTAAATTTTGAAATACGTATTAAAAAGGAAGGGGTGATAATTTTATTAAAGATACACTACAAAGTCCATAATCCAGACTCATCAGGACTTCGGCGATTCTGGATTATAGATCATCAATTTAAATCTGGTAAGATGGCATGCAAAAATTATACAATTAAAAATGTGGAACCGTAATTTATGAAATAGAGCAATTACGATCTAAAGGGTATCAAAATTTACAAAAAAAAAAGCGTAATATTTATTTGTTTACTTTATTAAACATTTCTTTCAATGTAACTTTCTTCACTATCGGAAGCGCTCATGGGTAAACACTTCGCTGGCTTTACGTGCATACGTAAGTTTGTGGCTTTGAGGTCCGGATTATAGATCATTCCGGATAATAGACGTTCAGATTACGGACTTTGTACTGTATTAAATTAGCCTTAAAATAAGATTTTTTAGTGACACTTGAAGCTTACATAATGTTTTATTTTCATTTTAAATTAATTTCTTGTACTCGAAATGTTTATATTCTAGTCTCCCCCCCCCCTTCATTTTAAATATGGGATGGGTTACCTGCATAGCTAAACAAAATGCTAGTTCTGAGCAGAGATGTCATTCATTGGGGCATAGTGAATAAGAGGCACTAAACACAGAAATATATTGCTTTTAACTGATAATAAATAACTTTTTTTATTGTGAGATCTCAGAAAAATTAATCCTTTTTAACATTATTGACATTTTAACATTATCTGAAATTCATTAAAATCTTAGACAAGTATTCAGTTTTAAACGAAAAATCCAGTAAATACCCACTTGATTTATTCAAATTAAAGTTTACATTTCCTATAGTGTACTTACTGGATACACATTAGCTGTAACATTTTATAGATTTATTTACAAAAGTTAATGGTTTATGTATATACTTCTAAAACGGCTGTGTTTTTAAAGCAACTTAAAAAGGTAGATCACATATCTTCTATCAACTAACATTATTTTCAATGTCAACACTTTGTGCATGTCTCAGAAATCTAAATCTGATGGAAAGTTAATCTTACCTGTAAAATGTAATGCATAATCATGTTATCATACTTATATTGCAAGAGATTACTTACATTTCATTGCATTTTCCAGTGGCAGCATTACACTGTCTTCTTCTGTTAAAAACCTTCATCAAATTATTTCCATCTTTTGCAGGTATTTTATCAATGCCAATTGCATCTCGCAGAGCTATAAAAAAATTCCAATTTAGTTAAATATTTTTTTTAATTTAATTTTTCAGATGTCAATTTTGAATTTTAAAAAAAAAAAAATTTCACTAATTTTTATTATAATTAACGTGTATAGCTAACACATGTATTATGATAATTGCTAAGTTTTGATGTTTTGGTAATGCTAAGAAAGACTATTGCCTTTTACTGTTTTCCCTACCCTTGCTAATTTTTATTTGTATGTACTAACTATTATATATAATACAACAAATTTTATGTACATATATTTAATGTACTACTTAACATGCAGAGTGACTGAAAAACAATGTCCGTAGTTCTTAATTTAAATTTTTATTTTATATTTTTAATAATATCTTTGAATGTTGTAATTCGTAATACATTTGAATTATACATGATATCCAATTTGTTGTTTTTACTAATTTATATTCAATTTTGAAAAATAATAAAATGTGTCCTGATGACATCTTTGACTGCCATACCTACAGGGACGGGCTCAAATCCTTAAATAGGTAAGTATCTATATGTGTAAGCATTTAGTTTTTGTGTAACAAGGGGTCATTTAAAATACATGGCAAGCTGAAAGTCCTCTCAGGAGGTTGATGATAGGTGAAGAAGGCTGGGAGACTCTCGGACCACCCCACAGATATTCTCCATCAAAATTGGAATCGAAGCATAACAGCTAGGTTTAGCAATACTTCAGTCACCTGCGGTACTACGGAGGTGGTGGATTAGCTCCTACTTGTAGTAGAAAATAATTGTTTACATGCCATTTAAAGAGTTTTAAAAATAAAAAATATAAATTTACATTTTAAAAATTTTAATAAAACTCTTGAAATAAAATGAAATTTTAAAAATAAAGAAATGAAAAGGAATTGAAAGAATCATTTCTTTAAATTTTGTGGTTCATATTTGGGCAAGAACATAATAATTTTACTCATTAATACAACCTAATAAATTGGAAAAATGTTTTTTAGATACCAAGTCGACGACGAGAAGTTCTCGATATGCTGACAGCTTATTTAGATGATCTAGGATCTGCAGGCGAAAGTGCTGCTGAATTCTTAACCTTATACCAAAATTTAATCAACCCTGTGCCTTGGAAATTTTATTTGGCTCTTCGAGGCTTGTTGCCACACATTGGAAATTTGATAACCAAGGAAATTGAACATCTTAGCTTTTTAGAAGAGACAACTCTAAATTCTGATCTTTCTCAAGGTATATGAATTTTCCTTGATTCCATGCAATTGTTTTAAAAATTATAAATTTGGTTTTAAAATTATGTTGGGGAATTCTAATTTGATTTTAAAACTATAAATTATTTTAGGTTATGCTTTAAAAATGCTCACTGAGCTGCTGGAGTCATTTATTGACGTAGCTACCATAAGGCAACATTACAAATCTCGACTAGTTGGCTGTGTCTTGAATGGTTATCTTTCACTTCGCAAGTTGGTTGTCCAGAGGACTAAACTTATTGATGAAACTCAGGAAAAGCTGTTAGAATTACTTGAAGAAATGACTACTGGTAAAATATCTTTCTGCTTTGAAAATAGCTTCAGTTATCTTTTTATAATTCTGTGTGCTGTAAATATTGTCATGTAATATTTTTAATTCTGTGTTCTATATATATTCCTAACTTTAAATGTTGTCCGTTTTAAAAGAAATCAATGTTGATGCAGTACAAAATCTGAAATTTGGAGGTCTGGCTTTCTTTTTCTCACGTAATATAGGAATGGATAATATGATACTTAACTGCTTCCCTTACAAATTTTTTTGAAAAAAATTGCAAAAAATCATCACATTTTTTTATTTTATAATTAAATACAGCAAAACAAAGCAAATCAAAACATGTAGGTTTTTAAGTTGAATTTTTAATTTTTTGAAAGTGTAAAAACATTTAATTTTAATATTAGTTTACTATCCCGAGTTATCTCGGGCAAACAAAAAAAGTTAAATATTAGTCTTTGTATGATAGTTTTTGAAACAAGGGAAAGTGATACCTGATATTTTACACTGGTATCTGGTCTCTTTTCCTACTGGCTTACCGCTGGAATCTTTCACGGGAGCACAGAGTACACTGTCTCGTTGGATATGATTTCCCCCACCTCTTCGTAATAACTATCTTGCATCATCACAATTATTTTATTTTTTCAACACATGTATCCTTCTTTATGCATTACTAATCCACAAGCCGACGTATACTATACAATAGGAAAACACGTGACCAGTCCCTCCAAAAGAACCGCGCAACCAACAAAATTTGGCAAACTGCCAATCAAAGCTGAATATTTCCGTTCATTTCCTCCAAGCCGAGTAAAACCGTGATAAAACAAATCGTACTAACAAATTCTGCTTTGTCCGAGTTTTCACAGGATAATAATTAACTGCAATATATATGAACCCGAGATAACTCGGGATAATCAGGCACGCGGTTAAGCAAGTGTGCCATAGATAAATTTTTGTTCCAATTGGGTAAGTTTTCTACCCTCCAAGCAATAAGAAAAATGCGAATCATTATTCATGATAATATCAAATCATCATTGTGGGAGGCAGCATTTTCATATCTACCCCTGTATACTATAAATGACCTCCAAAGACTAGTATTTGTTTTCAGTGGAATGTTATACATATTAGTTTTCTTTCATTGACATATCAGGGGAGAAAGATTCTGGCTCATTTTTATTTAAGCTTAACTAGCACTGTGAATTGCACTGTTCCTTATTCTAATTTGATCCAGCTTATTATATTTAATTCACTTTATTTTTATCAAAAATTGTATTATCAAATCTGTTAACTTACCAAAATTAAAGTTTATTAAAAGATAACGTCCTAGTTTTATTCTTTCCTGAAATCCTCATATTCATCAATCAGTGCATAGATATTGGAATTTATTGCGCAGTGAAAGACAGATGTAAAGTAACCTTCTTAAAATCTATACAGTAATAAGATTCTTGAAATATTTCTATATAAAATCTGCTGTATTGAGCTGAGCACCTCAAGTTCATGAGAGAACAGGTCTTCCAATAATTTTATAAATTCCTGCATAGGCACCTGCCTAGGATGCTTATTTTTTGTAAGTCGTTGTAACATGTAGCAGCTAAATATACATGTTATTTTGAATCATGAATGCGGTTTATTTATAAGGGGCACCATTTGTACTTATCACCTAGAGTGCTGGAAATGCTAAAAGCCCTGTTTATAGTTGGCTACCATGTTTAATAATGATGATAGGCATGAATTTGAAGACGCTTGGATGATATCATAAGTAAAAAGTGGAAATTTTCGTTAATTAATGAAATGAATGAAGATGCTTTAACTAAAATCTTCCAATACAATAACAATATTTCACTTGTCTGAAACCTAGTTATTTGAATGTTATTCTATCTGCATAAAAACAGCCAAATGACTTACTGCACCATCCTAAATCTTCCAGTAAAGTAACACCAACTTAGGTGAAGGTTTAAAAAAAAAACCTTTTTATTAGTTCTACAATCTAATAGATTTACATGCTTGTGTAATAATAGATCTTGCATGCAGGAATAACGTAATTTATATTCACAAACAGATTGCACCTATAAGTTTTGGCTGAGACTCTCAACTTACACAAGCAAAAATACAGTAAAAGCTAAAGCCAGTTCAAGTTAGTTTGGAAGCTGGGCAAAAATAGTAATGGTACAGTCAGCATTGCTGCCGAAATCTCTCTCCTAAATTCAAGATTTCTGTTTTTATATACATTCACTAATTTGTATCCTGGTGAGAGCTCATGAAAGTTTTGCAAAATAATAAGATAATACATAAGTAAACATAAAACCCTATATATCTTCAGTCAGTTAACAGATGAAAAAAATATGTAGTAAACTGAAATGGCAGAGAATACTAGCATTCTGGCTTTGAGTCACATTTTGATTTTGAGATGGTTATTCAGATACAGTCTTTGTACAACATGTCCCTTCTTGTAGAACAGGATAGTGCTTGTTACCTGTTGACAAATCCCAAAATTGTAAAAATCTGTCTCAGTAAAAAATAGGTTATATCAGGAAAGAAGCCAAACTAAACTGGTGATGCCTGATGCTAAAAAAATATGGCAATCCCCCCCCCAAAAAAATGCATCAAAGGACTTTGATAGAAAAGAACCTAAAAAATTTTGCAATTGGTTGAGTTATATAAAGGAATGCTGAATGAGGATGATATAACTGGGTCTTAATTGGAATGACAATACCTCAATCATCCATCAATTAATGGATGGTGAAACCTGCAGTATAGTTTTTATACATGGAAAATGTTGCTACTAATAATGAAGAAAATTATAATGATGTTGCTAAGAATGAAAAGATTTCAGTTGATTATTTTATGGTGATTCTCAACATGGTAATTACAGGATTTGAAGAATGAAACTTTGTAACTGAGCAAGAAATTTCTCTTTATGAAAGTAAAGAGACATTATTAAAATTTGCATAAGCAGCTTATCTTGAAAAAAATTTTAGTGTAACAAAACAAATTTAGCATTGAGTTTTTCTCCCTCTGTCTTTTATTGTTGTAAATTTGGGTTCCCTTAAAATCATAACAAACAACCTGTCACATTTTTAATTTTATAACTTTTACATATCGTTATGTAACCTGTCTGTGGCATAACTAAACTTGCTCAAATACAAGTTTAACTAGGTGTTACTTTGATTTCCTAGGTGAGTTTTCACTGCTAGAACAACTAGAGATGTACTTTGTTAAATTTGAAATTTATTCTACATCACCATCTGTAAGGATTAAACTAAAAAATAATGTAACACACTGTTATCGGTTGCATGAACCTGTATGCAAATGCAAGTTCTCTTTAATTCCATCTCTAATTACAAATGCTGTTTCTAACAGAAGTTATGTTCCGACCTGGGGTCAATTCCAGGCAAATGGGCTGGCTGCATGGGCTTTTTGTGGTTTTCCCCATGCGTAATGTGTATACAAACCAGTTTCCCTTTGAAAGGCCTTCATAAAGGCATCCCTTTCTGTAGGCAGATAGCCCTTGAGAGCTTTGTCATAAGTAAATAAACCAAAGTCAAAACTAACAGAAGTTACAAATTTCTGTGAGGTTTACTAGCAGTAGCTCAAGATTCTTAATGTGGCAACCATATCTACCTTGAGATTATCAATCTGACCCAAGATTAGCAGTGAATCACCAATAGACAATTAATTTAAATGGAAGCAGTTGTCTTTAATGTCCATACTCACGTACATTTATGAGCAGTTCCACATGCAGAGGAGACACATAAAAGTAATCTATGTTTTGGAATACACTTTCGCAGTGAAACAATATTTATTTTCACTTTATGTGTGCTTATTTAATAACTACATTTTAAAAAGGGGTGTAAGTCATAGATAGAATTTGCATTTATGTATGTAACACACAGACCAAATGAAAAATTAAAACCTGCATCAGTGCAAGCAGTGGTATGATTTAATGGTGAAAATACTTGTAAAGGTCTATTTTGAATATGGCTGTGAGAGTGGGCGTTTAGAGTTTGTCGATAACAGAAAAACTTTTCTTTTGAGATACAGTTTTAGTTTTAAGGAGGAGAGTCACAAATCTGGAAAACAGAATAGATGGTTAATAACAACAGTAGGTTTGAAGCTAAAGAACTGCTGTACGTATTCTGACTAGCATAAAATTCTATTGCCATGCAATAAAATGCTCCTGGGAAAATGAATTTTGATTTAAAAGTATGACACAAGCATTAAAAATTAACAGCTCAACTAGTTTATAAATACTTTTTTTTTTTTTAATGCAGTATAGTTTCGAATTTTCAGCTTTGCAGGGTTTTTCTAAAAAATACAGCTTTATTATTTAAGTACTACATTGTGTACTAACAATAAAACCATTAATTAATAAAAAATGTATTCTAATACCTGTATAAAGAAATTTCCAAATGTTGTTATCCAGGAATTTCTCTTTAACTCCCACATCAAAATTATTGTGTTAATGTTAGTGATAAGTCCTCCCCCCCTTAGAAGCAGTAATTATAATTTTTGTTTAAGGTAAAAACAAAGGATTTTTCTGCATTATTACTTGCTGATTTATAATTTAGCAAAGTTTGATTTGTAAAATTTAAAATTTTGAAAAATCCTGTTTAGTTTATGCAGTAGATAAGTATACAAATATTTTTTTACAATAAAAAATTTCTCTATTTTACTTGGTTTACATATCAAATATATGTTTAAATTAATAAGATCTGTATATGTATTTGTGTCTCATTTTATGCATTAATAAGAACTTTTGGCAGTCTTGTATGTTTCACACTTGAATACCATGCTGCTATATATTTCAGAATCTGAAAAAATTATATTGAAATTTGTATTTATTTGTATAGGTACTGAATCTGAAACTATGGCTTTCATGGCTGTTTGTGTTGAAACTGTAAAGAAATATGGTTTGGATGACCTTCGGACACCAGTTTTTATATTTGAAAGACTTTGTTCTGTGATATATCCAGTAAGTGTTTTCATTTTGTCAATATAAGTAATAAACTTCTGGATTCTTCCTGATGTTTATATTTATATTATAATCTGACCACATACATTTTGAAATCAACTAGTTTTAATTTAGAAGTCAAACAACAAAAATCAGTATTATATTTTCAAATTCTCACAGGTCTGGTTTTGACAGTTTTACCAAATCGTCAGCCTCAGCTACAGAAGTGCAAATGAACGAGATAATTCTGACGGAACGATTCTTTCCGTCAGTTAGCTATAAAATTGCACATATTTTACAGAAATTTGACTTTTGGGTCGTTTATTCTCCCATCAATAAAATTTTGATTTCCATACTCCAGGACCCCATTCCAGATATGAATTTCTGGGGTATTTACAGGATTTCTTGCCAGTGTGGTTTAATTTACATTTGTCAAACTAAAAGAGCCTTAAAATTTACTTAAGTAACATGAGGCATATGTTAAAAAAAAGGAAACACAGAAGTCTTCTGTTGCCCGGCATTGTTGGTCGGACAATCACACTTATCTTAAGGCAATTTTCTGCAGCCAAAATTATTCAAAAAGCATCTTCCATTGGTGAATTAGATTTTCTAGAGGCATTTCACATTTAAAAAAAAAAAAAAAAATCTTTCTGCCTAGTTAACGACCTTAATTCCAATCCATCTTTGTCTTCAGCCTTTAAGAAAATTATGTTTTATTTCTTGTTTCATAAACAGATGGCATCAATAGCTTAACTCTTGTCCAGTCTATCTTTATCTAATCACTATATCTTATCTGGTTCATTTGCACTTTTGTAGCTGAAGATGATGGTTCGGTAAAACTGATGAAACTAAGTCTGTTGAAAATATGAAAATATAATGATGATTTTGGTTGTTTGACTTCTAAATTAATACTTGCTCAGCATGTTATTATATCTTAATCAACTGGTTTGTTTGCATTAAGAATTTTAAACGTGTCAAAAAGTTGATTTTTTTTAATCACACTGATCCTGTAAATTTGAGCCAAATTTGCAGCATTTATTCTTGTATTAAAGAGATTAGTGTGATGTCTTGGTTTTCCTTGAACTACCTTTAGTTTATCTGCATTTATAGAAATTGTTGCTTGAAGCTTCTATAAAGATTTTTTTCCTTAATTGAACTTCTTTTATTTGAAAGATTTTTATGAACTATTACCATGTCAATAGATTCTTTAAAATCACTTTAAAGGATCTCAAAAATGCTGTCAGATTGGCAACATTTTGAATGAAAATACGTTTTTAAGTTCTTTAGAATGATTTTCAGTAAAATAAAACAATTTTATTATATGTAGTAAGCTTCAAGAACATGTACCTCCAGTTATCTTAAGGCTATTTTCACTGTCCAAAATCATAAGTGCAATGAAATTGTAAAGGAATTAAACATGTTAAGAGTAAGTGGCCGTAATTTAAGGTAAGTAGCCACAATTTAAAGACAACTGAAAATACACAATAAATAAGTATGGAGTTATAAAATGAATTAGATTGATTAAAACTAATTCACTGTAAATCAGAAAGCATATAAACCAGTGTGCAGCACAATGGAGACAAATTAATGTATATATTTATATAATTGACAACAACATAAATGAAACAAATAATTTTTTCCCTTCATTCCAGGAAGAGAGTGATTCTGGTGAATTTTACATAACTCTAGAAAAAGACCCACAGCAAGAAGACTTCCTTCAGGGTCGCATGTTAGGCAACCCTTACAGTTCCAATGAACCAGGAATGGGGCCTCTTATGCGAGATGTGAAAAATAAGATTTGCCAAGATTGTGAACTTGTTGCTTTACTGGAAGATGATAGTGGAATGGAACTTCTAGTCAATAATAAAATAATAAACCTTGATTTACCTGTCAAGGATGTGTATAGAAAAGTAGGTTTTTCTCATTTAAAAAAAAAAAAAAAAAGCTTTATATATATTTGTGAATTTATAGTGCATACATAGTACTAGCTGTGAATTTATAGTGTATATATACAGTTACAAAATTACAAAATTATATGTATTAATCCTAAGAATTCATATTTTCTTAATTTCTAAATAAAGTATGAACCCTTTGATTATTGCTTATAATATGTTTCATTTAACTGTGGTACTCCAGAAGTAAGATAATATATATTTTTTAATATTATTTTTGTTTAAATTGATTAACTAGTGTTTGTAACATTCAAGATTGATTCGTTTACAACTGCCATTTTTTTTTTTTTTTTTTTATTTTATTATATATTATTATTTGCTTTGTATGCCTTTTTTCCATGTGTATCAAAATCATCATTTTAAACCAGGCATGTTCACCATTAATTTCCATGAAGTAAAACTTCCTGCAGATGCTGTTTTCTGTACAGAGTTCGATATTTTTAAAGATGTAAAAATAATTATTTTTTACACTTTAGATAGTTGCCACATACAAAAAGGGTGGAATTTTAGTATACACCCCATATATTATTATCAGCTTTTTTGCAGGAGACACGTTATGTTCTTTATCCACATATTCCTATAGTTCCTATAAGGAGTTGATGAAATTCATGTGCCATCTTATATCCTAAATTCTAATCCAAGTTCAGATAACTATTCTAGTTAACTCATATTGATGTATAGCAAATATTAATGCAATTTTAATTCTTATCGAGCTAGACTATTCATTAAAGTAACAGTTTATCGTAGTCTAAAAATAAAATAATGAACTGCATTGTGTTCTAGATGTCTTCCTTCTATTAGTTTATTTGCTTAATATTTTAGGTTTGGTGTGCAGAGAACAATGAGTCAGAAGCTATGCGTATAGTCTATCGAATGCGTGGCCTTCTTGGTGATGCCACAGAAGAGTTTATCGAGAATTTAGACACAAAAGACAATGAGGAAGTGGATAATGAAGAAGTTTACAAAATGGCAAATGTAATGAGTGAATGTAGCGGCCTTGAAGTTATGTTGGAGAGAATGGCAACTATAACCGATTTATCTCGAGGACGATCTTTGCTTACAGTGTTGTTAAAATTATTTGGATTTTGTATTAAGGTAAGAAAATATTGAGGATTTTTAGTATGGCCTTAAGTGATTCTGAATTAAGCAGCATTCGTGTTAAATGTTACTAGATTGAGAATCACTTAGATGAACTTCTGTTTTAATTTCTTCTTATCTGGCTCTGTTATCTTATTTTGCAGGTAAAAAGCAATCGTCAGAAACTGGTTGATCCAAAAATGGGTGCCATTAGAGTAATGCTAGGCATCCTTAGATTGGCTTTATCAGCTGAAACTCCTGAACTTCTGCAAGCACCTGCTGGTGGTCCTACAATAATAGAACAGTTACTGCAAATCATGGAAGTAATATTAGCTGAAGCTGCAACAAAGACTAAGGCACAGTATGCTGAATTTTGTAAAAGTTGTGGTGAAAAGGAAGATATAACTTTCTTGTTATCTTCGGTAAACAGCGTCCCAATGAAAAATTTTTCAACTCTATTGCCACTTTTGATGCGAGTTGTACCTTTCTTAACATTTGGGTCTCAGGTTGGTATCATAATGATTTGTATTGTGCAGTCATGTCTTTTTAATGTTAATTTCAGTAAGACTTCACCGAGTATTGCAGTTTAAAATGTGGTTAGTAATTGCAGTTCTACAAGAAATCAAACTATATCTGTTAGAGTGCACTGAGTAAAAGTTTTCTAACTATAATTCAAATGATTTTACGAAATTTGTGAATGCTATTTAATCACAAATTAAATAGCAATCACAGATTTCTATTTAAAGATTATGCATTTTTGATTATGAAAAATATTGCTATTTAAAGATTATGCATTTTTGACTATGAAAAATACATATATACTGTTTTGTCCTTTCTTAGTGTGTTATAAGTGCCATTGTTAGTAATATAAGTTGAAAATGTTACCAAAATGTTTTTTAAAGTAAACAAACAATATATATATAGTTTATTTTATATGATTTTGTAATGATTTTTTATTTCAAATAATTTTTTGGATTAAAAAATATCCATTTAAACTTTACATCAATAGAATGCATTAAAAGTATTATGTCTTGATATTAATTGTGCAGTGTAAAATTATGCAAATATTTGCTTTCATACATGCCTTTAGTTTTTGTGTTGTAATGTAGAAACATTAACCGTTTGAGTTCGGCGAAGTGCTATTGCGCTTCACTTTTGTCGTATGCCAAAAATACGACGCAGCGCGATAGCTCTTCTCTTCTTTTCTATCAAGAATGCGAAGACGCTGCTGTTGGTTAGTATATTTTACACAATTATTGAGAGCAGTTGTAGTGATATCAGTAGCAGTTGTTTTATAGGAATTGGAAATTCTTTTCACTTTTTTACCAAGTGTTATACTGATAATTACGAAATAACCCATGTCAAGTTCTGATTCATTTGAAAATGGCTATGTTATGAGAAGTGATAATGAAGAGTATAGTAATGACCCATAGACTCCAACTACTACGGATTCTCCGTAGTTTCTACGGAAATTCATGAAAAACTACGAGCTACGAAAAGTATGGAAAAAACTACGGATTTTACAGAAACAAGAGCAGGAGAACCAGTACGCAAAACGGAACCAACTAATTCATCCGATGATTGGCTGAATACTCGTGTTATCATATATCACATGTTGAGTGCGTTCCTAGTTTTGAAGAATTAGCCAATCGTAGATCAGTAACTCCAACCGTTAATGACTTATCAATAGTTCCACCCAGTTGTCTGTCTCCCAGGTTCCTCGCTGATGCGTGTTTAGGCTGCATTCGGCTGCATTGTGTAGTTTACGGCGAGAGCTTAGCGTGTGTCTTGTGAACTGTGAATCAGGTGAAAGATTTTTAATCATAATGCTGCCTCGAACGAAGAAGCCAAAATTATCAAAGCAGAAGTTTAAAGATTCATATTCTTCAGAATTTCCATGCATTAAAGCGTCCGAAATTTCTGTGAATCACGCACACTGCAGTGTATGCAACAAAGACTTCTCAGTTGCTCATGGTGGAAAAGATGACTGTAAACGGCATGTGTTTTCTCTCAAAAGCATATAGAACTTGGCACCGTAAAATCTAAAGAAATAACAAATTTCTTAATAAAAGATGATGAAACAGATCCTATAAAAGCCGAATGCTATTTTGTTCGTTTTTTAATTGAACATAATCTACCGCTTTCTGTTTCGGATCATTCCAAAGAGCTTTTCAAAGCAATGTTTCCGGATTCTGCCATAGCAAAAAAATTTAGCTGCGGTCATACCAAAACTGCTGCTATTGTGAAAACGCTTGCAGAAAATACTGTTGCTGATATTATAAAATCAGTGTGCAGTACATCATTTTCTCTAAGTACTGATGGAAGTAATGATAACAATGATAACAAACTGTACCCATTGGTTATAACATACTACAGTAAAGAAAAGGGAGTGATAATTACTTCATTGATTTCTATTTTAGAATGCACGAATAATACAGAAGAAGGTATTTTTAATTGTATAAATGAAAACTTTAAAAACAAAGGTTTTAGAATGGAAAAATTGCTTATCATTTTCTTCAGATAATGCTAGTAATATGATTGGAAAGTTTAAAGGTGTAGCATCATTTATCAAAATGCATCAACCAAGTATAATCACCCGAGGTTGTCCATGCCACCTCTTGCATATAGCTGCAAAAAAAGCTACTGAAAAATTAATTGGCTCAGAAATTGAAATGTTGATAATAGATATATATTTTTACTTGGAGAAAAGTTCGAAATGGAAGCATAACTTCAAAGTTGCTCAACAAATTTTGGGACAGAATGCAAAATCTCATAAAATTTTGAAATATTGCAGTACGAGATGGTTGTCTCTTTTAGAATCTAAAACAAGGATTTTGGAACAGTGGGATGCTGTGATAAATTTTTTTGGAGATAAACCAGATAACAGTGAGAATGAAGGAAAGAGATTGCAAACATTAAAAAAATTTTACAGTCACCGACCACCAAATTGTGCTTGTTATTTTTGAAAAATACTTTGCCTTTGTTTATAACAGTAAATATTAATTTGCAACAACAAGCTCCTTATATACATAAATTGAGAAGAGAACTTTTTGAATTTTTAATGAATTTATTTGTTAGATTCGTAAAACCATCAGTAATTTCTAAAGAAAATGAAGATGTTCCTCTAACGTCTATTCCATTTCAGAAGTATAGTAAACAAAAAGAAAATGAAAATTTAGTGATTGGTGCGGAAACAAGACTATATTTAAAAAATGCCAAGTTGAATGAAAGTGAAATCATTTTTCAATTCTGTGCGAGCTTTTTTTGTAACTGCATGTTCATATATAATTGATAAATTTCCACTGAGTGATCCATTTCTAAAACATGCTGAAGTTGCTGACATCAACTTGAGAACTGAAGTCTCATTTTCATCTGTTCTTTACTTGATGAATACTTTTCCATCCATTATTGATGAAAAATGTCTTAATCAAGTAGAAATTGAATTTTCCATGTATCAAGTAGATGATTTGAAAGAAATTGTAGATTTGCGTATTGATATAGCATGGGGAGAAATTGCCAAATTAAAAAATATGAATGGGTGTATTAAATACAAAGTATTGCCTTCTGTAATGCTTGCTGTCTTAATAATACCTCATTCAAATGCAGCTTGCGAAAGAATTTTTTCTATTGTTAAAAAAAATCAGACGGAATTTTCGACCAAATTTTAGGTCTTAAAACTCTTGAAGCAGTTTTGATTGAAAAAATAAATATGCAGGCAAATGAAGAACTGTGTTATAAAAAAAACATTCTCAAAATCAGAACTTAAGCTTGCTAAACATGCTACATATAAATCTTTGCATTCATAAATTATGCGTATTTTGTTTAATACTTATATGTATCATTCTTGGTTATTTAAATTTTATTTCCCTGTAGAAATCATATCCAGAATAAAGATATGATTTATAGCTTCTGATTTTTCTATGATTAGTAGTGATTTGAAGTACTTTTTATTAGTGAATACTTGAGGAGTTAAAAGAAAATTTCTAATTAAATGTGCATATAATTTACAAGGTATATTTTTTAATTATTCAGTTTTATATGTATGGATTTTAAATTTAATAAAATTGATTACAATTAATTATTAATTTAAAATTAATGAATGGTTAATTACAACATACGCTACGCGCACATTTTCAAAGTTGTAAAAATGTCGTTCGCGCGTTGACTACTGACAAGGTTTGCTGAAGGTTGGAGTCTATGTAATGACCTTGAAAGTGATAGTGGAAGTGACATCATCATTGGTTCTAAGAGATTACGAGTTATTAGTGATAGCAGTGATGATGATGAAGTAACTGCAAGTACCTCCGATGACGATATTATTGATTAATTTTTATTCGTGGATACAATTTTTTTTGAACGAATCGAATATTTTTTCTGTAGTACCTGGACTAAAGCATGCCCCTCCTCCTGATGCGAAACCAATTGAATATTTCAATAATTTTTTTTCCAAGTATACTAACCAACAGCAGCGTCTTTGCATTCTCGTTAGAAAACAAGAGAAGCGCTATTGCGCTGCGCCATACTTCTGGCATACGACAAGTGATAGCGCTTCGCTAGACTCAAACGGTTGATCAGGTTCCTGTTAGAACCATCTGTAGTCTTACCTCTGATATTCATTTTCATAGCTGAGGAAAATATTAAAATACCCAGTAACTGTGGAGAAAAAAACAGCTAAATTTGTTATTTTTTTTTTTTTTTTTTAATCTGTATGCGGTATGTGAGGTTGTTAGGTTTACTTTTCATGTATTAACCTTTACACATTTTTTTCTTTTAATGGATTTGGCAAAGTGTAATAAACCAATGACATTCCAGTTGCTCTCACGTAGATCTTTTGAGTATTTCAGTTTAATTCTGAACTAGATCTCCCCAATCTTTCCTAATCCGAATCTTTAATGAAAGTTCAGGACCACCAAAAACTCTTTCAGAGCTATTATTTATAGCTTGCATTGACCTCCTAGTAATTGCATGAAACCTGAGAAATCTTTTCCCAGAAAGCACTTTTATGTGGCTTTATCTACTTTAATATATTTTTTTCCTGTTGATATTATGTTGAAAAAAATATGTAGCTAGCCTAGTGCAGTATATACCTCCTAAATCTGCTTTATTGTCACCAAAATATAAAAAATTGTGAAGAATTGAAATCGACTAATTTGTTAACCATATATTCCCGACTCCTAAATTTCCAGCTCATGGCACTTTGCATGTTGTTGCAATAACAAAGCTTAAAATAGAAAAAAATTTCTTTATTAATTCTTCTAAGTAAGGTTCTTTAAGTTTTTATAACTTTCATTTTGAGTTAGAAATTTAAAATCTTGTCTTGTTCTTAAAGTAATATATGTAATAATAATAATGGAGTTAATGATCCATTTCTATCATATTCATATAGGGCTTTATATTCATTCCTTTTAGTAACTTTATCTTTTCAAGCATAAGTAATGGTTTATGCTTGCACATATTTGTAGTAAAACCATGTTCTTCACTTCGTGGTCTATAAATTGACAACATGAAGAGTAGAATATAAGAAATTAACAGAACTGCTGTAAAAGCAAAGCATTATTGCCATTGCCTCCTGTGTGGGACGGACAAATTACATCTATGCCGTCTCTGGAATTCAAACCTGGTCTGTTCTGTATGGTAGTCAGAGTCACTAACCACTTTCCCATGTGGCTGGCAGTTATAGAACTGATGGATTGTAAAACGCTGGATTAAAGTGTTATAACATGTTTTAGATTTTGTTATGTTATAGTAATTTTTATGTGTGAATAAAATTTACAGATTTTGATTTTAATAAATTCTATTATTATTTGGTAATAGCAAATGGTTCTAGGGATAAAACCCACAGGAAAAATGCTCACAGAATAATGCTCACAGGTATAAATGCTCACAGGAAAAAAGCCCCTACAGAAATATGCTCACACAGAAAAAAGCTCACATGGAAATAAGCCCACTGATAAGTGAAATATGTAGAAATATCCTTATGTTAATCAATCAATAATTAATCAATTTGAACATCGTACACATACCTATATTTTAAGAGAAAAATTATTTGATCATTTAAAAAAAATTATTGAACAAATGCTCACATAAACACTCTCAGGGAAGGTATAGAAAAGATTGAAAACTATAGTAAAATTTTGCATGTACTTTAATATTTTATACTGCTGCCCCTGTGCAACATTTTCATTCCTGTAACTGCAATAGTTATTTTTTGTTTATTTACTTTATTTTTGCATACTTTTGATGTGTATCTACAGAAATTGATGTTTTAATGTAGTTATATAAGTTTGGAGCCAAAAAAAGTTCTAGAAGACCACAATTTCTAATCGAAGTGTGGAATCATTATGAAGCAGCTTTCAAAAAATCTCCTAAAACCACAAATTGTTACAAAAGCTTTCATAAGGTACTAAATTCATTATTTAATTGTAGCCATCCCAGTATGTGGTTTTTATTTGACAGACTAAAAAAAGATTTAGCCTGTCAACGTTTATTATTAGCTATTGTAAATACATGGCGTACTGAAAAAAGAAAATATGAAAACTTACATTTGGTAATCGCGAATCATGTAAGAAACTATGATGAAATCGATGATAAAATTTGATAATTACATATATTAGCTAATATTCAGGAGTTTTATGTATTTATAACTTTTTAAAACATATATTTATGATTTATATATAATAAGATATTTAACGTAATTTAAAGAAAATAATTACATATGTTTGTTTATTCTTCTAAATGTTATATATATAAATGTTTAACTTATATTTACTATTATTTTATTTTTTTAACAATTAAAATTATAATAATTCTCACTGTATATTCTGTTTTATTTCCTTCTTTTCTCTCCTTTTCCTAATTTAAAATGGCGGATTTACTAATCTTTTATAGCAACTGAATCTACACATAAGTTATACAGTTTTATATATATACACCATAAATGTTTTGGTATATATAATATAATTTAATATATATATAATATAATTTAAAATATATATAATATAATTTAAATAATTTTTCTTTGAACAATTGAAGTAGGTGTACGATGTTCAAATCGATTAATTATTATGTATTGATTAATCTAAAACTATTTCTACGTCTTTTATTTTTCAGTGTGCTTATTTCCATGTGAGCTTTTTTCCATGTGAACATATTTTTTAGTGAGCATTTTTCCATGTGAGCTTTTTTCTCTGTGGGCTTTTTTCCTGTGAGCATTTTTCCTGTGGGCATTTTTCCGGTCACCATAGCAAATACATATTTTTGGAAAAATCATGCAATAAGCATGTATGTTACCTTTTTGACTCCAACTTTGGCAAAAAAAGGAACTCCCCGATGTAATATTCGGGGCATTATTTCAAAGAATAAGAAACATCTCTCAGATTTATAACATCAGCTATTTCTTTAAATGTTATTAAGGATTTCAGAGAGCAAGTGTTCTCCTCACATTGTAGGACCTTTTTCATTGAGGTATATCTGCTGCTTGTTTCAATCCTTGCTGGCTGTGCTCTGAAGTTTCATAATTTTGTTATTTGATTTACAATCTGGAATCTGAAAATTCAATATATTTGTACCTTGCATTTCATAAAAAGTAAATTGTCTGATATATTAAGACATTCAAATATGACCTATACATATAAAATATTTACATACTTCCAAAGCATGTCATTGTTTGAAGTAATGTCTTTACAATGCATTGTGTCTTTTTGCAAGTTGTAGCATCCCCTCTTAAAAAAGGTAAGTGTTTGGATGCATACCCACTCTTGAACTACTGTATTAGCATGGAAAATTAATCTATATTATAATAGAGATGTGATACTGATCCATCCATCTGTGAGTTGCTCTCCATTTGCATGCGACCGGTTGAATTATTGTTGCATAGTAGATAACATTACTGTAGAAATATTCAAGGTAGCATACTCCATTGCAAGGAATCATGAAGAAAAATCCAGCAAACCATATCATATTTGAATACCTAAATTTTGATTTGTAATTGAAATTCTTAGATAATATAGTTTAGATTCTTATTGGATTTAACTCCTATTTTTAAGTATATTTTAACATATACAGTGAAACATTTCTAAGAGACAAGTGGATTCCAAAAAAATTTTTTAATTTGGGTACATGGTTGCCATAGAGAACATAATTATTCCAAATAATTAATTTAGTTGTGCTCAACACTAGTTTGTTCCTAGAAATTCTAATCATTTTCAAAGAGATGAAAGTTGAGAGGTTTTACTGTAGTTGCTTTAATGCAAAATGCTAAACTTAATACTCTTTCTTTCTTTTTTTTTTCCCCCTCTAGGAAAAAATGGAATCCTTAATTAATTATTTCAAGCCTTATTTGAACTTCAACGAATTTGATTTTGAGCACACTGCTGATGACGATTTGCAGTTGGAATGCTTTTGTATGCTGACAGCTGGAATAGAATGTAATGTTAATGGCAATCAGTTGAAGGATTTATTGGTAGAAAAGCACATTGTACAAGATGCCTTGGAATATATTACTGCTCATGCACCACCTATAAAGTATGTGAAAAAGCTATTTTATATTATTGATTTCTATATTCTTAATTCTGAATGGAATGCATGCAGTGAATTTTGTTGCACTAAATTGAAAGCATGCAGATTAAATATGTATTGACTTATGCCTTTTCTTTCTCTACCCACCTAGTATTCAACTCTAGTCAGTATAATGTCCTAATTTTTTTTTTAATTATTGAAAAAAGGATGTGATGATCTGGACACCTGAGGAATAAGCAAGGATTATTTTATTGTGTTTGTGAGGTCTGAAGAAAGAAATAGTGCATAAAATCTTCCATTTATTTTTGCTGTAATGAAAGTACTTTCCTCATCAAAATAATAAAGTTAATCATTTAAAATCATTTTATGTATCCATTTATGCAACATGTAAGCATTTGGCAACAAGTTTCAGTACAAGTATTTATAGCCATAAATAAAATTATTTCTGATGCTGTTATATATGTCCTTTATACTAAGTTCTGCATCCAAAATAAAATCTAATCATGATCAATTTTTATTACAGTTAATTTAGATTTCTGTTTTAAATTTTGTGTAGATGGTAATATATTTGTTAATATTTTCACTTTATAATTCCTCCTTCAAATAAGTAAATAAAATAAAGCAAAAATATTCACCAAAGTTTTAAAATTTAAGTTGCTTTGAAATTTTTAATGACATAAATCAGTATTCTTTGGTTTATTTCTGGTTATGTTAAAGAAATATCAATCTGTTATGAGCATTTTTAGAGTTAACTACATAATAATTCTTTTTTAATTTTATGTTAGTGTAAAACAGTGATTTGAAATATTTGGTTTGGAGGATATTTACTTACGCATTTTATTGCCATTTGATGAAATTCAAAGCAGTGTTTGAAATTCACCCTCCCAGATTATATACAAAAATATATGAATTTGGGTTGGTGTTAATGCAGTAGTTTCTGAAGTAGATGTTTATAAGAAGTAAATTTACAAAAGATTGTATTTGAAATGGTGTTTTAAAATCTCAATTTTTTATAGCATATACTCTTTTTAAGTTGTTTGTTAATCTCTTTGAATTTATTTTTAATTTCTATTAGAAGTGCACTTCTTGGAGCTTCAGATGAGTGGAAAGAATTCACATCCAAGCCAGCTTTAAAATATGTATTAAAATTATTGACAGGTCTGAGTCAGGGTCATGAAACTACTCAGCATTTAGTCAGTGCTGAATGTATTCCTATCATTCATAGGTATTTATTTTGAACTTATGTTGCAATGCTTCATTGTTAACTTTGTATCTGTAGAAATAATATTTTATTCTGTGTAGTGTTTCGGGGTTATAAATGTTAAGAGTTCTTTCTTTCAGTATGTATTAATGTATGTATTGTATTTATTATAAAAAGGTTAGAGCAAGTATCAAGTGATGAAAGAGTTGGTTCATTGGCAGAAAATTTAATGGAAGCTATTAAAAAGAATCCCAGTGTGGCTCAGAAGATTGAAGAAGTGCGTAAGCAAACAAAAGATGAGAAAAAGAGACTTGCTATGGCTATGAGGGAAAAACAACTTGGAGCATTAGGAATGAGCACTAATGAGAAAGGCCAAGTATGATTTATTAATCACATGTTAAATTTTATACATAATTGTTTATGGATTTTTATGTTTTCCTATTTGAAAAAAATATAAAATTGTTTAACATGTCATCAGCTGCATCTTATCCATTCAAGTACTTTTACAATATTTAATGCTCTTTGCTGAGCTCAAGGTAATAAGTCTTGTTCCTGTGACAATGCTGTATTTTTGTGACTGAAAACAGTTAGATAGAGAACCATAGATTTTAGTTAACATTTTGAATATCTGTACCTAAGGCAACATGGGAAAAATTATCATTAAGATATGGTACAATGGCGGTTGTTATTTCAGCTGGTGGGAAAAGTCATGGTTCCCATATATACCTTAAATCCTCAAAATAATGTAATTGATCTTGTTGCTCAATATTCTCTTCAATCGAAACTTTTCCTATCCATTAGCCTGTTCAGGAACTTTAGATATTCTGTATTAGCTGAAGTTGTATGCTGTTAAGGTCTTGTATTATCCGTTTAAAGAAAAGGGAAAAAGAAGAACAAGGATTGGATGTTTTTCCTGTGTTTTGTGCCATTTGTCTGTTATTTTGTGTAGGAACTCCAAATATCATTCATTAGTTGGAGGAAACTGTCATGGTCCTAAGCACTAAAATTTGAAGAATAAGGGGCTAATTCCATTTTCATGCTAGGCTTCCACAGTTTTATGCTGTCAGGACTTTGTATTGTTATTAAAAATCCAGGAAGTCTAATTTCAGTATCCATGTTAGTGATCCATTTCAGAAATGTTTTCACCCATAACAGTACACTAAAAAAAGTAATCTGTTTTGTGACTTGTTAAAACTATTATTTTATATGATTTTCTAGTAAGTAAAATAAATTGATATTTTTGTGGTAAGTAATGTAAATTATATTTGTGTTTCATCAATGTTTATAATGTGTTCCAAAAAATTAATAAATTTTAATTAATTGTATTTTCAAAATGTAAGTATGCAGGTAGTAACATAAACTTAAGGGGGGGAGAAATTGTTTTCAAAGTGGGCAAGCATAAAATGTCTGCAGAGCATTCTGATATATAAAAATGATCCCCATTTTGAAAAAAGGTCTAAGAAACTTTGATTTAAAACAATTTCCTAGAAAAGCAAGATTATTCAACCGTGTACAGATTCTCCTTTGCACAAGAGGGCGCTACAATGCTAACAACTTTTTTGGGGGTAATAGTGTGAAATTTGGAACTTTCAATTAAAATCATGTGTGTGGTGCCAAAGAAAATATTCAAGGGTTTGGTTATGTTTATTAATTGTAATAATTATACTGATATTTGATTTCTTTGGATTTGTATATAAAGTGATCTACAGTGATGTGAACAGATTTATGTAATTAAATATGTGTCTGCACCATTAAAGATAAATATGTGTCTAGCTTGTCTTTTGATTCCTTTTGGATAAGAACTTTGAAAATTGGAATTTGAAAAGTATACTGAACCATGAGATAATATTTTTTTGAGCAACAAGCGGAAAGTGTGAATAAAGAAAGGATACATTATGTTTACTGTATGGAATACATGTATTGTTTTGCTAAAATTATTCCTTGTGCATTTGCACAATAAAGTGTTTCTTTTTCAATTTTTTTGTAATGTTAATTTTGTTGATAAGCTTTCAGCTTTAATTTTATTATGTGCTCTGTTTTTAAAGTTTGGATTTTTTTTTAGATATTTAATGAATATGAAATATTATTTAACTTACTGTAGATAGTTTCCTGTTATTGAATTATTAGTGTAAAAGTAAATTTATGCTGAGCATTATATAAAATGTTTGTATTTTTTTTCTTGTAATATGATTTCCATTCCCTTGTAGGTTACTGCTACAAGTTCTCTGATGAAACATGTAGAAGAACTTGGAGAGGAATCTGGCTTAGTGTGTATTATCTGCCGTGAGGGTTATAAATTCCAGCCAACAAAAGTTTTAGGTATCTATACTTTTACAAAAAGGTGCAATGCTGAAGATTTTGAAAATCGGCCAAGAAAAACACCTGGTTATAGCACTGTTACTCATTTCAATGTGGTTCATGTTGATTGTCATATGGCTGCTGTTAGGTAATTAACTTTTTTTTTAATTCATGTTGCATATTTTTAAAAAAATTTATGCTGTTTTCTTCACATTATTTTGAAGTATATAAGCACATCATCTGATGGTTTTGTAAGCTTTCTTATGATGATGATGATTAGAATTTATAACTTTTTCTTCAGACACGCTCGTGGTCGAGATGAATGGGAGAGTGCTGCACTGCAAAATGCAAACACAAAATGCAATGGTCTTCTTCCTTTATGGGGTCCACAAGTTCCAGAATCTGCTTTTGCAAGCTGCTTAGCTAGGTAATAGATGTATTTTTAAGCAAAATTTATTTAAACTCTTAGAAGTTATCAAACTAGAAAGTGAACTTAAAATGCGTTTCATACTTATCCAGATCTATGTTGTCCATTACAACTATTGCTAACCACAAATGTTTGGAACACTTAAAATGTGGTAACTGGAGTAGAGTGCATTTTGAATTAAATTAATTTTGGGGGGGATATGAGTACTTTCTGGTATCTCTTTCTTCTTCTTGTTCTTTCTTTCTTTTTTTTTAATAATTTATCGTTCATTATTTACATAGTTGCAAATGAATCAACTTTTAACAAATGAGTCTACTTACTTAAATAAAGGAATGTATGTGCCAACCAACAACATTAAAAAGGTGAAAATATGGGAAACCAATGCTACAAGCAGACTTCTTTGATGGTTATAAAAGATTTAACCTTTTGAGTCCCAGAGGGGTATTGAAAAAACACTGTAGAAGAATCCCAAACAGTGCAGCTGGGCTTTCTCTAAATGAAAACGAAAAGACCCAAGCAAGGCAGTAGCACTTGTTTTATATTATTTCAAGTAATACCGAGCGGCTTGATAGCGCTTTATTTCTTTTACATAGATGTGCACCATCAGTTATCCACAATGTTCGCAATGTACTGATTTCCTCGACATAACATCTCAACAGCGCAATTGTGCTGCTTGGGACTCAAACAGTTAATATGCAAAGAATCAAGAATGACAGTTTGCTCTGTCATCCTTGTTACAAAGGGGGGGAGGACTTAGCTAATATACCAAACATAGCCATCCCTCTTTTTTTTTTTTTTTTTTTTTTTTTTTTTTTTTTTTTTTTTTTACTAAAAGTGTTGTAGCTGTTATATTTCCCATCAGAGAATAAAAATATTCCTGCATTATTGTAATTAAGGTTGTTTCCTCACATATACCAATGCCTTTTTTCTGTCCAACATATGTACAGATTTGAATTGCCCATAAATGCATCAGCAAATGAATCAAAGTCAGTTGATTTCTTTGTATCATTTATTAGTGCTTGTGTCAGTTTTAAATATGTTGTTATTTTTCATGAAAAATAATGTCATAGTAATGTATGCAAAGCATTTTTTAATTTTATTTGAAAATTAAACAAAAATATTATAGATAATTTCACAAGTAAAAAATTCATTTTTTTTTTTTTTCATCTGATGAATAAGCATGTAATGTAAATAGCAGTTGATGCATGTTGGTGTGTACCTGTTTGATCAGCATAATATTTCTGTTGGGTATTGTTGATTTAGATTGTAATTTTTTTTTTCCATCTAGACAGTACATCATATTAAACTGGATTAGAGTATATATATGTCTTTCTATTGATTTATTTCTGATTTTGATAATGTTATTATTTCTTGATTAAATATATTTTGGGATAAATGAGGTGCTATAGTTTACCAAAGTGTAGGAACAACCTTCTGTAATTTATTTGTTACATTAAACAGTATAAAGTCTTACTTAAATGTCATTCTAAAAGGAAGTAAAATAGAAAAGTGTTGTCACTCACTGGCATTCATTTCTTACAACTCCTCCAATTTTTATAAAAATAATTTCCACATTCTTTGGTGAGATATTTCAACATGATTTCAGCTGTCATATAGAGCCATGCAATCTTGTGCAGTAATGTAATTGCACCAGCTGTATTCTAAACTGTCCTGAGAAAGCTATGCTGTTCCAAGCTACTGCAGAAAGCAAAGCTCTGCTGTTTTAGCTGTGGTCATTGAGAATCAGCAAATGTTATCACCAAATTGCTACAAAATACTGAAATCAAAATTAATGTCATATTTAAAAAGTATATATTCTTGATTTTATGCAGTGTTTCCAGTGTTTTGGGGAATCTGTGCATGTTCTTTGTGCAAGAAAATAAGTCCATTTCTGTTCAATTCGAATTTATGCTCATATGTTTCTGTATAATTTTAAAGTAAAAGTAATATGTAGAAATTAAGCACTTCGAAATGTAAGTAACATTACAAAAGCATTAAGCAGAAATAAAATAAAATAAAAGTATTATTTATAAAGGATAAAAGTCCTACTCAGTTTCAGTTATTAATATGAATGTTTTTGCGATATTTTTCATTTGTTAAAATCAATCTTTTTATGCCTTCCTTAAATAAGGAAATCAGAATTTTATAACTAGGTTAAAACATGTATATTTTTAAAGGTACTTGATATTATTGAATTTAACTTAAAATGTTCAAAATTTCTTTTCTTAAATATTTTGTCAAATAATCATACTGTAACTAGAAAGCTTTTTTATTGCATATTTCTAAGCTTCTTCCCCCCCCCCTCTTTTTTTATGTTGTTCTAAGTTGCTTTTAGTTTATGTAAAAACCTCTGTCATTTGCTGTTATAATTTGCTACTGCATATGTTGAGCTGCATGCATAATATAACACTGAGCAAATATAGCTGTATTCAGATAAATTCTAACATGCAGCTATGCTGGTATCTGTTGCTTATAACTCTACAGTCAGCCAAGGGTTTGACTCCAGATTTCCTAAAACTGAATGAGAAAGAGTTGTTTTCTTGTTTGTAACACCAAAATGTATGTGTATGCTCTTTAATTACTGGACACATTTCAAATATTCTCATATATATATATACATACATACATACACATACAGACTCAAAAGGTATTATAAAAATATTTTTGGGTGTATATATACACACCAAAGGGCCATTACATTATGACCACCTTAACATGTAGGACCACCTCCACCTCAAATCTGCCTGCATCCGGTGTGGCATTGACTCCATAGGTTGTCTGAGGTATCTGGTAGCAAGCACTCACCAATTGGTCCTGCAATTCCCGCACAATGCAAGGGATAGCGTGGCAGCACGAATTTGGTTTTCCAGCTGCGACCACAAATGCTGTATTGGATTAATGTCGGGTGAATGTGGAGGCCAAGGCATGTCTTGAAAGTCACTGGAATGTTCCTCGAACCACTCCCTGATCATTCGACCCTTATGACATAGTGCATTATCCTGTTGGTAAACACCATCCCCTGCCAGCAGTACTGTTGTCATGAATGGGTGAACCTGGTATGCAACGATGTTCATGTAGTGCACAGAACGTCAGGGATTGTTCTATATATTGGCTATGGGAATTATGGGTCCTAATGTGCTCCATGAAAACATTGCCCATATCATAATACCCACCACCACCGGCTTGTCTCTGTCCAACTGTACATCCGGGAGCCAGGCTTTTGTTTGGAAATTGGCGTGTTAGCACAAACCTGTCGATGTAATGGACATGCTTTGCCCTCCAGCTGCTTAGGCTCATATGCAGCAAAGCATGCTGCACAATGTGTTGAGAAACACTGTTTGGGTTGCCGCTGTTGTAGCTGGTGGTGATTTTAGTTGCTATAACTCTTGGCCCATTGCAGACGCAGTTGGCGATAATGTGCCGCCAATGCAGGGCTGTGCTTCGGCCTCCAGCTGTGTAGGCTCATGCACAACAATATACGCTCCACAGTGTGTTGAGAAACACTGCCTGGGTTGCCACTGTTGTAGCTGGTGGTGGTTTCATCTGTTTTAGCTGTTCGGTCACGGCGAACTATGCATAGGAATCTCCACTTTCCTCTGGAATCAATGCGCCATCGACGACACACTGCTGGCTGCCAACTTGTCATTTCATCATCCATACACCACTTTCGATATGTGCTCACAACTGCACGTGAACAGCCCACTGAATGTGCTGTTTCTGGTATTGATATTCCCAGTCACTGATAATTTCACCTTTATTGAAGATGGAAAAATCAGCTGCTTTTCCCATTATGTTGCTAATCGTGTTATGTTTGAAAAGACATATGAAATGTTTGAAAAGGCATAACCACTTTATATATTCCAAGATCAGGTGTGCACATGCAATGTTTTTGTTCCTGGGCAAGCCATTGATATATATGGAGGGTGGTCATAATGTAATGGCTCTTCAATGTACACACACACATACATATATGTGTATATATACATACTATATATATACACACATATATATAGGGCATCTAGAAGGTTAATAACCCCTCATGAAAGTGGTAGTGTCACAGAAAAGCAAATAAGACGCACCATGCTTTGTGAGGATACAAAAGATTATAGTGCTGCAAATTCTGTAAAAAATTTAGAGGGAATGTATGGTAAAGGTGATAACTAGCATTTCATTCTGATGATGCTAATGATGGTTCTGTAAATTTGAATAAAGCAACTTTTGTTTAAAAAATGCCAACCACTATATTTATATTATATTATGTTGTGCACATTTATATTATGTTGTTATTATTATTCTTGTGTTAAGTGAAAGCTATGTGCTACTATTGAAGAGTTGATAGAAAAGGTTCATTCATCATCAGTTTTCTATCACCATTTGAGGAACTTAAAATAATGTCCCAGTTTGGCAGGTGGGTTCCATATAAACATACTGTTCTTTGCATTCAGATTCCTTTTTTAAGCTGAAAAGTGTGTGATGGGCGTACGAGTTCAAAAAGGAATCCCCAGAAATCTAAGACACAGGACATAAAATTGAACCTTTGAATTGTTTAAAATAGCTGTGCCAAGCAGTAAGAAAACATTTTGGTCATAATATCATCTTATCACTAATTAACCAATATGGAGAACTTTTTTTCTTATTTTAAAAGGAAAAAACCTTAATGTGACACAAGACATAGCTGCATACAAGGCCAGCAAGAAATGTTTTTCACAAATGAATTAGCAGTAATTTCTGTTTTACCAGGACAAAAAATTCACATAGTGAAAATGTAATACTTTCTTCAAGAAGTTAAAAAAGTGCTTTTGCACTTTCAGTTCCATATTTAATTATGAACAGTTTATTATAGGTGTAAAATAAAGTTTTTAATCATCCTGCCTTAAACTGTATTTTATCATGTTTAAATGTCTAATATACTAAGAGCTAAAAGAATTTTTTGAGCATTTGTTAATAATATTTGTTAAACTGTATGATTGAATGAATGTGTATTTATAAGCATCTTACCAACAATTAAATTTATTGTTTTAAATATCCCTATCTCTTTGCGATTTGTCTTTATGCCCCCTTTTGATACCAACGTGGTTAAATAAATTTTTGAGCAAAATTAAATATCTGTTGAAAAAATAATTTATACTTTCAGCATGTATATTTATTTATAATAAAACTTATACCACAAAATAAATCATTTAATTTTTTTAATTACATGTAATGTAAAATGCGTAGGTTATATAACAATTTTTAAATATTCTATTTTATTTTCTGTTCATTTTAAATCTTGCTTTACATTTTATTGATGTGAAATATATAATTTGCAGGCATAATACATACTTACAAGAATGCACTGGTCACAGAGATGTTGGCTATTCATCAACTGTTCATGATCTGAAATTATTACTCCAAAAATTTGCTTTTGAAAAATCATTTAGTGAAGACAGCGGTGGAGGTGGGCCACAAAGCAATATGCATCTTATTCCTTACCTTATTCATATGACTCTTTATGTTATAAATACGTAAGTAAGATTTTTTTTATTATTATTATTAAGAGATTTTTAATGCATTTGTAGTTAATGTAATTTGCTACTATCTCAAACAAAAAAGAAATAGGAGGATGTATTTTAAAAGAGTTATCTTTTTTATACTCTGTTTAGTAGATTATTTTAATTATATGTATGTATACTATGAAATCTGGGATGACCAGAAAGATGAATGCTTTCGCATTTGAGTCAGATAGAGTTTATTAGAGAGGCAGTAAGGAAAATCTAATAAAAGATTTCAACATTAGATTTGCAGACTTGCAAAATATACAAATTCCTGATTGGAATGGATGTCACTTTTTAACTCTTTTCATAAATCAGAGTGCCAGAGTTGACCGAGAAATTTCCAATGAATAGGTCAGTTAGTCTTATAACAAAAGCATTGTTCAAACATAAGACTTTCTAATTAATATGGAGAAATAGAAGTAATTACTAATAATTAAATAGAAGTATGAATACTTAGATATGCTGAAATTTGTGTAATGGTACCGATATCCTTTATTTCAGCATTCTGCACATTATATGTCTTTTAAGCTAGTCTCAACCTTGTGAATACATTTATAACTAAGCAGGGAAACTTGCTGAATTTGAAAGAACGAAGAGATTTGAAATTCATAAATAATGAGACTAGTGTAAATGTTCTATTTATGATTGAATACTAATTAGCCTTGCTGCACATGAAAATTTAAACAATGTTGCTTCATTAATTTGTTTCTCCTTCTCTAAACACTGTTTACCATATACTAGTGTAATTAGTACAGTTCAAGAACCTTTCATTAAACATATTTAAATGATATTTAATATCCGAACATGGATTTCCCCTACACTTTTATAACATCATTAACCTTTAAGAGACTAGGGAGTTTAGAAAGTTTTCACGTAAAAGAACAAGTAATCCAAATCCATTCCATTTCTGAAAACGCCTTAGCAGCAAATACCTCCTAGGATCGCCTAAAATCAGTACATAGTCTAATCAATTTTTATTTGTTTTCAAACTGAATTTAGTTTAGAATTACATGTACTGATTAACAGTTTTAATTTATACTCGAAAATTATGTTTAACTATTTGTTTCTCGCATAAGTTGGCAATTCTCATTCATTGTGTTACAAACATTGTGTAAACAGCTTATATTTATTTATTCAACATATGCTCTTTTATTTTTATGATATTAGTTTTATTTACCTTTTTCATTAGTATTCTTATTCATTTTTTTAACATTTGATTCCCCCTCACCCGGGCCATTGTATCCTATGTGTTTATCTTTCAACTACATTATTGTTCATTGTTCTTCCTTGCAGTTTTGTGATAAAAGGTCTTCTCTCCCTTATGAAATATGCATTTTTTTAATAAATATTCTCTTTTAATGTAAAAGAAAGAGATTTTATTGATTATATTTGCATTGCATTTTGCATATTTCAAACAACAGTATTAAATACAAAAATTAATTACAATAAAAAGGGGAAATTAAAGAAAAAATACATTTCTGATGACGCTAAAAAATTTGTAAAATTAATACTAATATCATAAAATTTAAAATGGATTTATTAGTATGGATATAGACCCACCAGAGGCCGAGCGGTAAAATCAATGAACACTGATAACTAGGTTCAGTTTACATTTCGGTCAAGTAGCTGACTGTATGTGGCGTCATGTGTAACATGAGTACCAACCAATTTCTATTAAAAATTCCTCCAGGAAGACCCTTCGCCGTTGGGCCGATAGCCCTTTGTATCTTGGTCATAATCCAAATATTCCAACATTTATTTATATGAGCATATAAAGACTGGAATTCTCGTAAACGCATAATTATCCTGTCAAAATATAGATGCTATTATGCAAATCACTTCTGCAGGAATTTAGCTCATATTTTCATTATACACAAGAATGTAAAGAATACTGAAATTACAATTGTTATTAAAATAGCATTTCTCATTATTACTTCACCACAGTGATGACAATTTCATTATTAATTAAAAACAAAAGGCATATGCAGAAAAGTAATTAATTCTCTCAGCAAAATATGAAATTAGATAAAATAAGATAGCATAGATCAATTAGACTGTATAATCATGCAAAATTATGCTAGCGCTGTTTGCTTATAGGGAAAAATAACATTGTTAAGGACTGTATTTATAATGTTCTTCACCATCAGGCACTATACGGAAAAGGAGGGACCCTTCGTGGAAGATGTTTTAAAGAAAAGTGGCTTGTATGCTCGTTACACATGGGGAAAACCTCAAAAATTCCCATGCAGCCATCCCATTTGCTGGGACTCGAATCCCGGACTGAATTACCAGTATTCAGCGGCACTCAGCCGCTGATGGCCTTTCTTAAGGATTTTCTGTGTGAAACTAACCCATATGTCCATTGCATATATGTACATGAAGGAAAAACAGAAGCTTTATTTAGCTGCAGCAGAGAATAGAACCACAAGTGTATATCGACTTCGCTGATAAGCCATTAGGTGATATTCAATTGACTGAAGGTATGACCTGACTGTTATCAATATGGGTACAATTTCAAGAAAGAAGTTGAAGCAAAAAGATACATATGTATCTATGTTTTAATTATTAACTCCTTTGTGCTTGGGAAGTGACTCTCAGTCACCACTTGATTTAATGCGATAACTCAAAAGGTGACTCCAATCACCACTCGGTTTAATGCGATAATTTGGGAGGTAATGATATTTATTTAGGTTTGGTTTGGGCAATATCACTTCATGTCTGTATTCAACAACACATGCATATAAAGTAACTGCCAATATTTAATCTTAACTAGGTTTTTCAGATTTATTATTATACATGTGTCTTCGATATTGGTTCGAATTTGACAGCTATGGCAATAGGAATATTATTTTTAAGTTAGGAAGCCCAATAAGCATGGAATATGATAAAGAAATCACTTTAAGTGATTATGAATTTGATTTTTTGTTGATGAAGAATGAAATTACGTATATGCATAAACTACATGACGATAGAGAGAAGGTAAGCAGTGATGAAGATAGCAATGAAGTAAAAAGTGTAAGAAGGAGAGGTAATAGAAAAATAAAAGCAACACAGTGATTCAGCAGGAGAAAGAGAAAATTCAGTATTGATAACATGCACGTAATCTGAAGAAACATCGCAAAGAATTAAATACTGTTTGTATCCTGCGAAATAGGCATACGATGGCAAGTATCTACAGACATACAAGAACCATCGTATTTCTTTTAATTGTGTGTGAAATCATTTTAAATTAGCTGTAAAAAATTCGTTAAATATGCAGAAAATAGTCTCAAGTTGCTAATTCGCCAAGTGAAAAAGGCCTCGAGTGTAAAGGATTTCCTAGGAAACACAGATTAAATGCTGATTTAATGAGAGATTTTTTTAAAAAGTTAAATCTTTGTAAAACTGTAATTTAATAAAACTTCCCACATTTTGCTTTCTTGTCATATTTTGAATTTGCAAATAGTTATAACAAAAATGTAGAAAGCAAATATATAAGAGTAATTATTGATGATCTCATAGAACGTTCTAACTTTATAAGGGGAATTGGTCTCTTTCTTTAAAATCATCAATAATTGGAATATTATTGCATTTCATCTTTGTATTTTTGAATAAAACCTCTATGCTGAATGCTAAAAAATATAAATTAATATAATATTTGAATTTAAATCTGTGATTTTCAAATATGCACAAAGATTTATGGATGCATCTATATGTATGCACAGTTATCATATATACGTGGTATTTATACATATGTACATGTGTATGCTTTTATCTGCATGGGCATATAATATGCATAAATCTGTTTGCATACACGTATGCGGCTATCGTACATACATGCTACACATTTGCATTTCTATTGCATATGCACACACACCTCATTTGCATATATATATATGTAAGATAAAATTATATGAATCAGAATAACTAAAAACATTAATTCTTCCTCTCTATTCTAAAATCGTAATAACGTATCTGCATTGCGTCATTCAAATTAATCATGCGATCTTATGTAACCGTTAATACCAGATGCCTCTTGACGACCAATCACCGAATTGTAAAACAAAACTTTTCTCTTTGCGTGCTTCTATCTTTCATAACTACGCACTTCAGCTTTTGCTCTCTACTGTGCTAAGATGTAATTTCGCTGGCTTGCTTTCTATCTCAACAATATCAAAAATGTAAATCTATTGTGGAAAGGCACGACTAGAGTGCCAAGTGATTGTGGCCACAAATATCAATTGGAAATAAAAATGGAATTAAAACTGCCTCGACTGCCAAGCTCTTTAAATACTACGCAATCAAAATTCTTCTTCAATATGGGTCTAATCACGCATCTACAGTGTTCCGTCATTTCCTTTGCTTTTATTATGACAATTAAGCCGGTAGGATAGTTTCCTGCAGCCTGAAACCTCAATGGAAAATTTAGTTCAGCTCTTCAAATCATCGTTTTGTGTAAATCCAAGATAATGTGAAAGAAGTGAATCATAAAGTTTGTTTTTTCAGTGTTTAAAAAATAACAGATCATTCTTCTGCTGTGGTGTTTTGCAAGTGCTTCAAAAAAAATAATCACGCGTAGTGTTTACAGATTGAAAGTAATCTCTCGATAAATTGAGAAGTTCGAATGCCTAGTGAAAAGGAAATCATCAGTGAATTACCGTTTAGGAATTAAGCATTACAGCGGGTTCAAGATCGATCTGAGTTAGTGTTTGCAAGTATGTGCGACAGAAAATTATTTGCACTTCTGCTTTTTCAACAGCTCAAAAATTATTACATTCGTGTGAACCTAGCTCAGGAACTAAATTATTTAATGTGCTGCGAATTCTATAGTTTTCATTTCAACATTGGTTAAAATTTCTGCAATTTGTTTTGAGAAAATCTGAAATTCTTGTTCATTAATTTTTCTAATTTTTCATAATTATGTGTGAGCAAATTAAGTAACGAATTTTAAGCTATTTAAATTATTCATAGGGAAGGATATTAAGATAAGT